AACGACACAGGACCCTGCGCTGTTCTTTCGTCTGCTCGGCCCTCCCCGGGTTTGCTGCTGGTTCTTCCCGGGTTGGCTACTATCCCTTCCACCTCCGTGGAAGGGCAGTTCCCCCTGGCCACATTCCCCACTTCCGCAGGGGAGCGGCACACCGCAGGCCGGCTTTCTTGGGGGCTGCACAGGTGTTCCTTCAGCTAGATGTTCCCCTTAGATGTTCCCCATAGATGTTCCTCATAGATGTTCCCGGTGCATGCCGTCTCTCTCCTCCTTTATAGTCCTCCTCCGCCAATCCCAACTCGGCTGCCCACACGCCGAGTACGCTGCTCTCCTCCAATCAGGAGCAAGTCCTACAGTTTATTAGCTGAACTGGAGGCAGCTGTGCGGAAGCTGTTTACTTCTCTCCCAGCGCCATATTGTGGGAGAGCAGATGCATAGAATAAGTCTTAATTCCAGTAACTCAGTCCAGTCCGGGCTGCTCCCCACAAAATGCCTAGGATCCACATATAAATCTCAGAGCTGACATCACGGTGTAATTCCATCTGTCAGAAGAAAAGGCTGCAGGTGGACATTTGGTGCAGTAGCTAAGATGCTGCTTGAGACAGCTGCATTGCAAATCAGAGTGCCTAGGTCCAAGTCCTGGTTCCTAATAATGCACGTGGGGGGCAGTGGAAGATCACTCAAGGGGTTGGGTCCTTGCCACCCATGATGAGAGCAAGGTTGAGTTCCTAGCTCCTGGCTTCAGTCTGTTCAACTCTGGTCATCGTGGGATTGGGAATGCAAGCCAACAATAGAAAAATCAGTCTGTCTTTGTCTCTGTCTCTCTCTCTCTGACCCTTTCAAATAAAATGAAATCAACCAATCAGAAGGAGAGGCTAAAGGACACACACTTGGAGATGGGGGGGTGGGGGCACAGGGACTGTGAGAGACATGAGACCCACTGAGACTGAAGGACTCACTTTGTCAAGGCAGACAAGGAACTAAGGAGAGACTGGACTAGGACACTTGAAACAATAGGCACAGAGCCACAGAGCACAGTTACATCCATGGCTCCATCAAAACCTGGGCAGTGATGAAGTAATTCACGCAGACTCAAACCCAGGCCTGGAAATACCTCCAGCATCTCCCCATGGTAGCAGCTCTAGGATTCACACGTGCACTCCTGTGATTCCTGGCTGGGCCAGAGTGGAGGGAGGGGAGGGTAGCTCTCTGTGTCTTTGGGCAACTTTACCACCTGTGCCTGGATTGCTTCTTTCACAATCAGGAATGGAAAACCATAATTATCTCAACATTCTTTCCTTTATAGTACAATACTTTTAGCATCTATTGAGTGCCAGGTATTACCTAATGGTAATGAGGATGCAGTCACACAGGAAATGAAGGGAAGACCAAGGCCCAGAAGCCTGTCTCTCACACCAGCCCAGTATTACTCCTGCAGCTTGAAAAACAGTGGTAAAGAAAGGAAGGAAGGAAGGAAGGAAAGAAGGAAGGAAGAAGAAAAACAGCAGTATTCTCACTTCTGTTCTCAGCCAGGGACCCACACTTATTTGTATTCTTTAGCATCAGGGATGGAAAGTTTCTCTCGAGTTGACAAATAATAAAAGATGAAAGGATCGATCCTGGGTGTATATGTATCAAAGTAATGCCATTGACCTGAAAGGGTAGAATTGGTCTCTAAAAGGGGCATGGTGGGGGTGTTCCTTCTGGTTTCGGAGTCCCATCTGCTGTTAATAGTCAAGGAATAAACCAATTGCTTGTGGTAAAGACCTTGAACCTGCAACGTGAACAGGTGCATCAAGGTGACCCTTGTCTTGTGCAGGTCCACAGAAAGCAGAGTCTCCAGCACTGGTCATCACTTATGACATCCCTGGGTGCAAAGAAGCCTTGAGGAGAAAGGGAAGTGACTCATCCTGCATCTCAGAGGCTGGACCCCATCCTGGCTCAGAGCTCTGCAAACTTGGGAATGTGAAGAGCAGACTGGAAGACATAAAAGTTTGGCTAGTTGTTCCCTTTCTCACTGTGCATCCTTCCATTAAAATAATTACACTCTAATTAAGAGCAAGACAACGTCTGAGCCAAACAAGTGTCGTAATTGAGGAGGGAGCAGGAGAGGGACACTTTAGGGACTGAGACCTGAACAGGGTTTGCTTTTCCCTGATAGAGATCAATTGGAGTAGAAGGTCTGTGTCAGCCATGAACTCAGCAGATCCAGGAGGGACAAACAGAGCCTGGGAGCCTCCCTTGCTGAGTGACGACTGAGCCCTGGACTGCACCCTGGCTGCCACAGTGTGGAGCCCTGACATGCTTTGCTTTGCCTGTTGTCCATTCACAGTCCCCTCCACAGCGTAAGTCTGCTTCTCTCTGACTAATCAAGGGATGGATGTGAGTCTGTGAGCCGAGGACCTCCACTCTCCTGGCCTCCAAAGGTGTGTGCCTGGGGCAGAATGGTGATGGGGACCCGCTGCCCAGACGCAGCCCAGAATGCGGAGCATCCTCGTCCCCGCGTTCAGACAGTGAGAGAGCTCTGGGGTGGGTCATGCATGGGGAGCCCTCCTTGCTTTGGTCCAGAATGGCACAGGAGCTTTTCAGGTCTCTAGGAAAAAGTCTGTGTCAGGGCCACGTTCACCTGCACTATGACTCTGGGCATTATCAGCTTTCCCAAATTTGTTCACCTTACTTTGGGTGCATGTGTGATTTTGCACATGAGCCAACTTTGTCTTCACCCATTCAGTCATTAATTTCTCAGTGTATGCTGGTGTGTGAGTGTTTACCTTGAAGGTTTTCTTTCTACATCCATCCTTAAAGTCTGTTTTATACTATTCCATATGTGTAAGCCAGCTTCATTCACATACACCAGCTGATGAAGCAACTGTTAACAATTATGATTAAAAATTCTGACTGCTTCTTAGAAAAAAAAAATTTTTTTTTTTTTTTGGCCAGGCTATGAGTTGACGTAATCTGAAGTAACCCAGTGTAAATTTGCCTTGCTGTTATGTAGCAGAGAGCATTGATCACATTCTGGCTGAGAAATTTACCTGCCTATGCTGGTGTTAGATAATAAGCACATCTTTTTAAATAGTTCCAATGATGATTCCAAAACCATCTGGAAAAGGACTTACCTTTCCTTTCTCTGAAACTGTTCATTTGACTCAGCCAAAAAGAAAGGGTTGTGATGTAGGCGGGTCAGAAGCTGGTCTCAAATCTGATTTAGAATTTAGGGAAGGTAAAATAAGGACCAGAAAATGGGAAACCCTAGACTTAGGTAAGATTGAAAAAAAAAAAAAAAACAGGAAAATATCTGTGAAGGACATCTGGCACTAAGGAGTGCGTAGGACATTCATTTTTGATGGAATCCAGGTCACTGCTAAGCATTTCATAATTTCTTATTACAAACCTATTAGTTAATACTCTAGTTCTTGCTGTTAATGACTGACATTTATGTCACTGTGAGCTATGCATTTCACAGCATGCAATGCTTTGTGTTAATGCATTTGTGTGGCATTATACGCCCCATTTGGTGGGGTCAGGTGGACAAAAGTTGAGAGGTGGTAACTGCTATTCCTGAAGTCACTAGGCTCTCTGATGCCATACCTTGGCACAAGCCCAAGTTCATACAGTTTGTGCTACCAGTGGCCTTCAACAATGGATAGGTGGCAGGTGGGGAAGTTTGTAGAAGGTGCTCATATGTATAGAACTGATGCCAGACCTGGGGATTGCATCAAGCATCCCAGCTTGTTTTATTTGGGGAAACTGACTATAGTTTGATGTAAGTCCTAACTGAGAAGAGAGATTGCAGAGGTTAGTAGTCCTATCCAGGCCCAACAAAGATCAAAGCAGCCCTGGCATCATGCAGGTTGAAGAACAGACGCAGGTGGTGCTGACTGCAAAGCTACCTGAGATCACTCTTTCTACAAGGTCACACTGCAGCTGTGAGTGAGTGATTCCTCCTTTCTTACCAATGAAGTTTCAACCCGCTTTACTGCCTGCAGTCAGTTTTGAGGACTCCTAACTCACAAGTCACCCTCACCACATGACAGCATACAACATTACCTTGTCAAGCCTCTTCTCTTAATTCCCCTGAGAAATCTCAACGTCCAGGCTTCCACCAGAGGCCCCTGAATAACTCAGTGGGAACTGAGCCCTGTCACAAGGACCCAGCAGAGCACTGCTCCTGATCCTGTAGAACACGCCCTGGCTTCCTTCAGCACACACATCTGATTTTCAGATCCGAGACTTGACCCTAGAGGCAATTAAGCTTCATCCAATTAAGCTTTGAATATTAGAATTCTGTCTCCAAAAGTGATGCAGTTTGTCTTGCTATTGAGAACTCAAAAAAACCATTGTAGGGAGTGAAATTACAGGATCAGTTTATGATTTTCAAAGACAACTCTGAAAAACTAAGGTGTATGCATCAAAAATATGACAACTGGAACAAGAATTGATACTTATCAAAAGAGAAGTATAGTGAACAAAAGAAGGAGTGCTACAGAAAATAAAGTGTTGCTAAATTTGAAAGATGTTAAAGAAGTTGAAGCAACATTTTGATACACTAATGTGGAAGAAGTAGCTAGATCAAGGATGAGCTCCAGGCTTTTTGGAATTAAGTAAAATTAAGTAGAAAACACTAGAAGAGATTCATTTTGAGGGGATCATTAAAGTTTAATTCAGCACATGATGAGATTTTGTATGCACATAGGACATGTAAGGATTTGAACCCGAAGGTAGGGAGACAGAAAAACAAATTTGTTTTACAACTTTTGATTTTTGCATCCTCTTGCACAGGTGGCATTTAAGGTCGCATAGGATGCTCCAAAAAGACTCCCCAGGGAAAGGAAGCAATTCTTAGGACAAAAATGTGCCTTTACATGTACTGTGACTGTCCTGCTGCACCAGAAAAGTGCTATGACACAAAGCATTTTTTGCAGATACGAGTCATCGTTGCTGATGCTTTCTTCACAAAAGTATTTGCTGGATCCAAAACTTTTCTGTCTATGAAGTAAGAGATGGTTGTGTACATTATTAAGGAAACAATCTTTCTCTTTCTCACTGGACTTGGTCTTTTGGGGAACATGGCTGTTTTTGCCAATTATATATGCATTTTCTTTGTGGGTACTGAGAAGAGGTCAGTACACCTTATTCTCATCCACTTAGCTTTTACAAATATCATACTTCTCTTTTCCAAAGGAACACCAAATACAATAGCTACTTTTGGTTTGGGAAACCTCCTGGGTGATGGAGGCTGCAAAACTGTTGTTTATCTGGAGAGGGTGGCTCGGGGCCTCTCCATCTGCACCAGCAGCCTCCTTGTGGTGGTCCAGGCTGTCATCATGAGCCCCGGGGCCTCTGTGTGGGGGAGAGCCAGACCCAGGTCCGCTGGGCACATCCTCCCACTGCTTCTCTTCTTTTGGATACTCAATTGCTTCATCAGCATGAATTTACTCTGTTACATAAGAAGTACCAACAGCATGAACACATCACTGACCAGAAGTCATCGCTACTGTTATTTTGTACCAGAAAGCTGGATAATAAGATGGGTGTTTTTCACTTTCCTGTTCCTGCGCGACGCCCTGTTTCAGGGCCTCATGGCCTGTGCCAGTGACTACCTGGTGCTTCTCCTGCACGCACACCACAAACACGTCCTCTACCTGCAGAACACCCAGCTTCTCTGTACCACTGCCCCTGAGATCAGAGCTGCCCAGAGTGTTCTCCTCCTCATGCTTTGCTTCCTTTCTTTTTATTGGACAGATTGTATTATTTCTCTATATTTGTCTTTCTCCTTAGAGCAGGATTCCATAACAGCAAATGTTCGAGAATTTGCAGCTGTTGGTTATGCAGTTCTCAGCCCATTTGTGCTGATTCACAGAGATGGAATCCGGCTGAATGTTGGTATATGCAACAAGATTGGGTAAAATGTTTGATTAATCCCTTCAGTAACGAAGTTTGACGTAATTGTCAGTTTTGCTATGGTGTGTGTAAAAAAGAAGTCAAATAAGAATTGTATGAACATATAAGGGTAGACTGTCACATAACACACCTGGGACAGCAGCCTTGCTCCGACACAGAGGTCCTTCGAGGCTGACACAGGCACCTTTCCATCTGTGTCTGCTGCCTTCACCTCTGCACTTGTGAGGCTCACTCATCAGCAGGCTGCACCTAGAAAGGAGCAGAGCAGTTTGGCAAAATCTGTCACAATCACCAAGGCACCCTGTTCCATCAGATGGCATTTTAAGTCACAGAGAATGCCCCACAAAGATCCCCAAGGAAAGGAATATAGAATACATTTGGGTAGGAGAGAGAATTCTGATGTTTCTCATCAAGCTATTCTGAAAGATACTGAATGCTGTCATACTTGTTATACACGTGTTTACTGAACAAAATCTAAGAACCACATAGTCAGACCTCTACTCTGTTTTTAAGACGTCCTCTATTAAATTGCTACAATAGCCCTGAGAAGTGTTTGAGTTTCCCTCTCTTCTAAGCAATGGTCCACTTATGTGTCTGGTTTGGTTATGTTAGTTCCACACAGCTTTTAAGTAATTATTTATGCAATGTCTGTTACCATGTTACGCTATCACTTGCTTAGACGCTTGCCTTCCTTTACATAGCTGTGGCTTGCTGCTGGCAAGGACCGTGCTGTGGCCTAAATGTCACAACTTTCCCCTGGCAGCCTCTTCCTGGTACCCGACATGGAGAGCAAGACAAAGCAAGCGCTCCCAAAATCTCAGTGGCGTTTGACTCAAGAGGAAGGGATTAAGTGCCTGGGAATGAAATGAAGAGTGGTGTATTCAAACTGAGCCAGAAGGAGATGACTGAGCAGCAATAGACAGGAAGTGTCGGGATGAATATGAAGCTGTTGATTAACTTCGTGGCAAAAAATGGTAACAGTTAGTGTGCCTAGAATGTAGGTGCCCCATAGAAGCATAATTGTTTGCTTCCCATTTTAAAGTTGGAACTGAGAAAACTTGAGTTTAATTTACACCCTTAAGCATAAGTAATTAATTTAAACACATCTGATTGAGTGGGAAGCAAGGAACTGAAAATGGAAATACCAATCTTTAGAGCACCTTGCCCAGGCTGGCAGCACACCAGCTACCTTTCATCTTTCACATACGTATACTTTTTCTCAGTAACACCATCTACATAGGAAGATGAATTCTGCATCAATTTTTCCTGTGAAATCTTACACAAGATTTGAAGTCATAGTGGCTGGAAACCTCTCACATTTGGTAAAAGAGAGAACTTCCCAGATTCAAAAAACTCAGGGAACCCTAAGCAGGATGCCCATAAATATCTACATCCAGGTCAATCAAAAGCAGGTTTCTGAAAATTAAAACAATGAAGCTCCTGAAAGCAGTCTGAGAATAATAGCACATTACCTACAAGGGAGTTAAGACATCAAGTGACAGTGAATTTCTCTTAAACTGTATCCCTGAGCCAAAACTGCATGGATCCCCAGACCCTACTGGTTCTAAGTCTGACTGGTAGTGCTCAGAGACACTTTGGGTCCCCAGGCATCGGGGTCAATTCAGGTCAGTGTCCACTTATCACTGTAAGTGGATAAGTGATAAGCGGATGAGTGATAAGATGTAAGTCTCATTATAACTCTTTCCCCAGTGCACAGCCCCTCCAGCAAGTGATCCTGTTCCTCACAAGGAAGACTCAGAAGATCGTCAGTGAATGTTTTTGGCAGAGTCTCCATGAGAACATGGCTTTCCCTTTGCTAAAGAGGCTCTGAACATCTGCACTAGCTTAACTCTGGGGGTTCACTGAGGAGCCATGATGGTTCAACTCAGATTGTCTAGTCACAACACTGAAAGCTTTCCCTTCTCTACAAAGAATTCCACCCTCAGGGTTGCCTCCTTAGCGCAGTAGGCAGCGCGTCAGTCTCATAATCTGAAGGTCCTGAGTTCGAGCCTCAGAGGGGGCAGCTGAGCTTTTGTCCCAAGTTAATAGGATTGTGTTTCAGTTCTTTGGACACCATGATCCACAACTCAATGCCAAAGATCTAGATCTCCGTGACTTGGACAGTTCTACTTCTGTAAGTAATTGAGGTGGGACATTTGGCCCCTGTCACAGTGGAGACCCATAATCCCATTGCATTTAAAAAATGGATTCCAGTTCAGCAGTAGCAGTTTCCAATATAATTTTTCATGGGTAGAGAAGAGCCATGGGTAGAGTTCTTTTAGAATCCTGGGACTATCTGAACTTACTTTTTGCAGACATGGTGAAAACATGCCCTCTCGACCCTCCTGTTCTGCGTGAGCAGGTCTATTACTGTAAATCATCCCTAGCGTTTCAATCTCTTGTGCTTTCAATACTTTGTTTGCAGTGCACTGAGGAGTTTCTGAGATTTCAGCTTAATTTAGGAAAGTCCACATTGGGTCAGGGTTTCAGTGATTATCCAATGCAACAAACTTTCAGAGCCATTCCTAGCCCCTAAGTGGAAATATTAAAGTTCACAGTCTCCTCTTAGGTGGTTCATTTCAATGAAATTTGAATCATTCTTACAGACATCTCTACTGTGAATCACGAACAATCTGGGAATTGTTTCTGAAATAAAGATGAAATATTTTCTGAATACACATGGTTTTGTTGTAACACCTAATTTGCTCTTAAATATAATCCTGACTTTTTATGATTTTGTGCAGCATTCTTTGCTACCATAACCACATTGGCCATCAGGGGGTCATCTATTTCTGCCTCTTCATGTGTGAACCTGGCTAAAGCGAAAAATCAAGCTAAATCCAATACAGCCCATCAACCTAGTTATGGACTTACAGAAAAATAATAGGGAAAACATGGTATGTTTATCAGCACCATGGGAATGGATACAATTCAAATGTCAGGAACTCCACTGCACAAAATGCCTGGTTTATTAATAGATGGAATTAACACAAAAGGAGAGTGAAAACTTTACAGATAACAAAAGATTTAAGAAACACTTCCAAAGAACACATGCTGGATACCACTAAGGTCTTATTTCCTTGTTTTTATCCCATCCAGTTTTCTTGACCAAGTGAAATAAAAGTAAATAATTTTATAATAATGTATAAGGAAATGAGCATCTAATTCCCAAGCAAGTTGTAGAAAATAAGTGAGAAAAAAATGATTTCTGTTCATAGTGCTCTTTATATCAAGTTAAATGACATGGAAGTAAAGGAAAATAATATTGAGCAATAAATGAAAGTAACGTATTGAAAAGTAAAGGAAAGTTTTACACAGGAGTAGTGACATTCTTTGGAAGAGCTGACAAGCAATACTTAACAGGCCTCTGACAGCTTGAAAAACCAATATTTGACAACTGACTGAGCCACCATAACAAATCACTGTTCATTTTTCCTCTTTTTGTACATAATTGATGCTTAAGCAGGTCATAGAGGATGGTAATAATTAGTCCTCTAGAAGGAAAAAAAAAAGGTTACTTTCAAGCAATTAAACCTTATTTCCTGAAGCTGATCATGTTGTCTATTTCCACATAATAAAATACCACAAATTTGACAGTTACAAATACACAGTTTTCAAAATCTAATTGTTTAAGTATATCGAGAGTCTGCTTTAACTTCCTCATCTGCTTTGGGTCTTACCAGTCTAATACCAATGTGTTGGTGGTGCTGCAATCTAGTGTGAGCCCTGGAATCCTTTTCCAAGTCCATGTGATTGTTGGCAAAACTTAGCTCCTTTATTTTCAGAACCCAGCCCCTCAACTCCTAGAGACCACCTACAGCCCCTGATCTGTCCATATCATAGTTCTTAACTTCTTTGATGCCAGCAGAGACCCTCTTTCACATGGAATCTGTCTCTTTAGGAAAGGCCTGGACCTTCTTTCAATAAATTCCTATGATTAGATCAAGCAAAAATTAGGTGTCAACTGATTAGCGTCTTTAATCACATCCATAGAATCCCTTCATTTTTACCATGTAAATCCAATCAAATCTCAGTAGTGAAATTCCACCATATTCCCAAGTCCCAAGGATCATCTTAGAATTCTTCACATATATCTAACTCTCTCACTCTCATTGACTTTTTTTTTTTTTTACTCAGTTACAATAATCTAATTCTCTGAATTTTTGTTATTGATCAGGTTGAAGGTCTGAGAGCTAAGTCAAAGGTTCTGGACGATTTCTCATTGACAGAGAAGTGATGGGGGGGGGGTGGGATGGAAGCAAGGGCAAGGTCACGCAGGAGAAGGAGGACCTCACATGCTCTGTTATGACAGGGCAGCCATGACCCTAGGGAAGGAAGGGGAGCAAGGGCATCGCTGTGGCCTACTGGTGATGTTCTACTTCTCCATCTGGGAGGTGAGTGATGGCGTATTTTAAATATGTGTAGCTAGCTACCATATCACCCAGCAATCCCACAACTGGGTATACATCCAAAGGAAATGAAGTCATTATGTCAAGGAGATAGGTGCACTTCCATGTTCAGTGTAGCATTACTCATAACAGTCGAGTCATGGAATCAACCTAAATACCCATAAATGGTGAATGAATAAAGAAAATGTGGTGTAGATACACACTGGAATAATATTTGGCCATAAAAAAGGAAGGAAATTCTGCCAGTTGGGATAATGTGGATGAACTGAAGGATGTAATGCTAAGTGAAATAAACCAAGCACAGAACCAACAAATGCCAAATAATCTGTCTCATGCATTGAATTTAAAATGTTCAAATTCAGAAGAGAGAATGGTATTTACCAAGGGTTAGGGTGTTCTCGGATTGGGGAGATGTTGACCAAAGATTACAAAATTTGAGTTGGAGTGTGTTTTGAATTGGTTATTAGTTTAGATGTCCCCCAGAGGCCCCCATTTTAAAGGTTTGAGCCCATGGGTGGTACTAGTGGGAGCTGGCAACATTTAGGAGGTGGGCCTAGTGGCAGATACTTAGGTCACAGGGGATGCTGCCCTCAGCG